CGTGGCGCATTAAGGCGCGCGCTTTCATTCCCGACCCTGATTTTTCTTACCGCGGCCTTTATGGCCACACTGGTGTGCTTAAGGTATTTATTTTCTTATTTTCACTCGAAGAACCATCCGACCGATCGGCGATGTTGAATTCTCACCTCAGGCCTGCAAGCATTACGACTCTTAATTCTCCCATAGCCTTAGAAATTATCGAGACCATTTTGCGGCATAAGTCCAATGGAGGAAAGATATTCGAGAATTACGAGATTCCACAATAAACTTACTTTTTTTTTTTTTTTTTTTTTTTTTTTTTTTTACCCCCCTTTTCTTACTTCGATTACTCCACGCGAATTTTTAATACTTTGAATAAGAATGTGAACCTCGGAAATTGCTTGTACCGGAACTCGCATTATATACAATACCAATTTTATTTCTTTTTTATCAGATACTTTTTTGTTTTCGTTTTCGTTTTTGTAAACTTACTTTGCAAGGTGTCTTGGTTACGTACTCGAGGTGAAAATCAATTGAAAAATCAGAGATTATGGCGTTATCGATAATACAAGCATGAACAAGCTTATAAAACGACAAATAATTAATAATTAATAATTAATAATTAATATTTAATATTTAATAATAATAATAATAATAATAATAATAATAATAATAATAATGAAACAGAAACAATAAAACTACTTTTACACTATTACTATTATTATTATTATTAATAGAAGGTTAGAATTTAACTCGGCAATTAGATATCGGAAACCGATATTCCACGGTACAAAATAACAATTATAAAAATAATATATTAAAAAGCATCTATATTTGCAAAATTTAATCTATTCGTCTTCATTCTGTTGAATCATAAATATAATCAAGGCAATCGAAAATATATTTTACTGGACGGAGAAATATTTTATGGAGCTGCCATTAGGAAATAAGCGAAGACAGAAGAAAAAAAAATGTAGAATCTTCAGATTATGAGCTACAATGTTGAATAAATTATCTTTTTGGCTTCTAAAAGTCCACTTATCTCTCATCTGACGTAATGAAGCAACTTGTATTCAGCGAGAAAATTTAGTAATTCCTAAGATATAGAATCATACCCGCTTGCGCAATATTTGATAATTAATATATTTAAGAATGTAATTCCGAAGCTAAATGGCTAATGACCTTTGAGTATTTGAAGAGGAATGTTTAGGTGGTGAATGCGCCAACGTATATAGTTGGAAAGTAGCTCTACCAATCTGTCTAAATTATAATAATTATCCAAAAGAGTTTAATATTGATAGGTCCACGTGAAGGTCCACGAACTGGTTAACGGAACGGCGTAAAAGCAAGAGGAGCCGTGACAGAGGGGGCGGAGACGAGTGTGTCTGTCTGGCTCTGTGTGCTTGTGTGAGGGAGATAGGAGAGAAGAAACCCGCTTAAAATATTCAGCAGCGCCGGGTAAGAGGGGCCCCCGAGCTCTCTGGCGCGTAATATCCGTTCGGCCGGCTTTGCGACACGACGAGCTCAAGGTCATTAACTTCCGTGAGTGGCATTGCTCGCCCGGGCTTACCGTTTGCGCAAGATTGTTGGCGGTATCCTGGGCTACGGCCGCGGCAGCTGCCGACGAGGGCGTGAGTGGCCGCCTGGTGGGTGGTGGGGCTGCTGCCTGAGGCGGAGCCTGGGGCAAGAGCCCGGCTGGATAGACCCAGGGCCCGTAGTACGGGGGCACGACGGGCGGCGCTCCGGTTATCAGGCTGACGTAGGGCTCCTGGCCTCCGATTACCGTGTACGGCGTCGCCGGGAAGTTCTGCTGCTGTTGAGCCGCCTGTTGCTGTTGTTGCTGAGCTTGCGAGGCCGCGAGGTACTGCTGCTGCTGCTGCTGCTGTTGTTGCTGCTGCTGGAGTAGCTGGAGCTGTTGGGGTGTCGCACCCTGGGCCTGGCTCCGGAACAGTTGCTGCAATTACAAAGGAGATGGCTTTGAGTTAGCTTTCGACTGTATCCCATTTTACTCGCTTTCTATTTTTTTTTATCTCGTCGTATTGGTCTTGGTCTTGGTCTTGGTCTTGGTCTTGGTCGTCGTCGTCGATGTTCTTATCGTCCACGTCGCCCTCGTCGTAATCGTCAACGTCGTTCCCGAGATATTTTTTTTGTATTTTTTGTTTTGTTTTGTTTTTGTTTTGTTTTTTTTGTTTTTAAGAACGTCGGGGGAGTAACGAAGGGGAGACTTACGACATAACGGAAACGAAGAGAGGCGTATTGAAGATGGGAATCGTCGACCGTCGGGATCGCGCGAAATGAGACATCGTCTAATTGCCCGTCGAGCGGCTTTCTCCTTTTTTTTCTGGCCAACTCTTTCTTCGCGGAGACGCGACAATATTCCCGACGATTGTCACAATTACCGCGCAGTTCGCGGAACAGTGACTATGTGGAGCACGCGATATTTCCTCTACGGCGTCGATTCGAGGATTAGCGATGGGTACTACTACGTGAGACCATCAATAGGAGCATGAGTTAGGCGAGGAAGGTTCGCAACGTCTTTTCCTGGCCATGGGAGGATATTTAAAAAGGAAAAAAAATCAGTTATCGGAAAACTCATCGAAGTGGTTCGTGGGAGCCTCTCGGAATATATTCCCAAGACTAGATTTTAACTTTCAATGTGAATCACTATAGTATGACTAATACCCAAAGGAGCAGCAGTTTGGGTAGATCATCCATTAGGTCAAGCGGCCGATTAAATATATATTTCATACAGGTTGATAAAGTCCGCATTAAGCTGCCGGACATTAATTAATGATTCTTAATTGACAATATGAGGCTCACAATTCTAAAATAGATGGCTTTTTAGAATTTATAAGTATATCGATGCTCGACGAGAGTCAGGGTTACGCCGTGACATAATCTCAATGTAAGCTTAAGATCCATGGGCTTGTGAAGGGATTCGAGGTTCCCTTGCTTCTGTCTGTCTGTCTGTCTCTCTCTCCCTCTCTCTCTCTCTCTCTCTCTCTCTCTCTCTCTCCCTCTCTCTCTCTTTTTCACTACCTACCTACATACCTACCTATCTACCTACCTACCTATCCTTCTATCTATCTATCTATCTATCTATCTTTCTCTCCTTCTCATTCTTTCGTGCTCGCTCGTTCGGTCTACCAAGAAAGAGGGAATGCGATCGAGCAATGGCCGAGAGTTTAAAGTCGAGGTTAAGCGTCCCGTGCACGGCTACGGCTCAGGTCAATGAACCTCAGGCGGACGTTCACCGGCAAGCGCTCACGGTGTACACAAGCGTTTCTTCGTTTGCGCTTGCCCAGGAGTAATGACGACTACGACTACGACTACGACTACGACGGCGACGACGGCGACGACGACGACGACGACGACGACGACGACGACGACGATGACGTGAGCAAAGTCAACCTAAATCTATCTATTAGCATCTCATCATATGTCCTTGTCATTTGTCAATAGGCATAAGTCGCTTGTCGTGGGTCAACTCGCATTATCTTGTCTCAAGTGCGTTCTTATTTTTTTTTCTTTTCTCTTTTTTTTTCTAGCGGCAATGGAATAATATTCTCGTCTAACGCATAAATATCGTGAATACGTGCAACGCAGGCTACGGTTTCGGATTATGCCGATAAAAACTAACTTTCCATGGACGAGGGAAGTACAATTCGTTTAATTCTCTCATTAATTTGGAAGCACGAAGAATGAAGAAGAACGGGGTGAAGTGAAAGCATTGATTAGAAAGCGAGTAATTTTGTCGCTTGCCACGTGAGCAGAATTAACATTCGAAATTTGTTCGTTATGCAAGAAGGAAAAAAGTCTTTAGCGCCAAGGATAAAAGCGGATTGTCCGCTTGACTCGTCGGTAGATTGGCTAGCGAGTAAGAGAGAGGGAGGGAGGGAGGGAAAACGAGAGAGAGAGAGAGAGAGAGAGAGAGAGATTGAGTGAGCGAGCGTGAGATGCGGGGGGGGGGGCGAAGAAAGACAAATGAAAAGGACCAAGACGACTGATCTTCAATCCGATTCGAGTTTTCGAAAAATTGTGTAACGTTTCTATTGCGTTTTTCACTTCCAGGGCCTCTCCACGTAATATTTCCTAATAAATGTGAAAACTGAATTTCCCACGAATAAGCTCAACTAGTTTTCTAACTCGCTATATTCAATCTGATAAAAGTGTATCGATAATAAAAGAAACTGTTAGAATTCATTCTCTAAGGAAATTTTATACGGAAAACTTATACGTTTTATTGAATTAGAGCCGTGGGCTTTCATTCATTAGATAATTATTTTTTCGATTTATCGTGCCTTTGCATGAAAAGCACAATTCTTTGTATCAAACAAACCAATATATAAATGACAAAGCAATGTAATTCTTATTTTGTCGTAATTGAATAATGGAAGAATCGCGTTACGCTAAAAGAAAATCAATTGCTGTATTCCTAAGCAAAAGAGAGTATCAATCAATGAGACAATAGACTGTGCTTAAAATTCAACTAAATTATGATTCGAAGAACTTAATATAATAACTTAATAACTTAAGATCCACCGGCAAGAATAGCCTATCGATTATTTTTTATGATTGTATTTTGTTTACATGCTGTTGCTATAATTTGTGAGTTAAGCTTAGGTGGTAAGGCCCTATTATTATACAAAATACATAGAAATAATTGAATGGATTTTCATGCACGTACACTTGCAAACACTATCGATTCGAATACTTTCGAAGAAAGGAAAATCTTCAATTCTTAATTTACTATTTTCTCTCAATAATTTGTCAACGATTAGCAATTACCATGAACTCGTATTAAAATTCAGCTTATATTATCGAGGTCGAAAGAATTTGATTAAAATCAATAATCAAGTTGCATTCCATAATCAAAATTTCTTTTAAAACTACGAACTACTGTTCGATAGTTAAAAAAATACTTTGCCCCTGGGAAATCAGTACGAAGAAATTCAAGTCGGCTACATTTAGCATATTTTTTAAAGTGCGTTCGTCATTTTGCGACTACCACGCTCCTGGGACGCATGGTAACAGGTAAAAGACATTGGGAGTACAAAAAGTTGGACGAGCCTGTACGTGGAAAAAAGTGCAAATTGAACTAACGTATGGAAGGGAGCTTGTGAGTACGAAGTAAAGGCGAAAGAGGATCTGCTGGACGAGGAAGGGGGGGGGGGGCGG